TCTCCTCCCTCTGCTTTGATTAATTGCAGTTTTATCTAAGTGAACTTGCAATTAGCTGTCTGCATTACAACAGGAGCAGGGAGCGGGGATTCCCAAGGGATATTTGACTCCTTATGTTAGGTCGTTGGAGGTTTTCCTGTGTTTATGACGTTGTGTATTTATCTTTTTGTAAAGAGGACTGTTGTAGGGAAATCAGCAGGAGGTCAAGCAGCTTCATTCTAGGTTTACTGTTCATTGTTTGCCATCTTTTCTCTTGTGTTTGGCTTTTTATTGACAGCAGTGGTTCTCTGATGCATCTCTCTGTGTTTGGCCCTCAGGCTCTGAAAGCAGACGGAGCTAAAACAGTAATTACTGCATGTTAAGGAAACACACCTGAGCAGCTCTCTCTGCCTTTGCCTCACGCTTTAAAGACTTCCTAAAGTTGGAAAACAAAAGCTGTAATGGAGGTGAGACTAAGCTGACTCCAGTGGAAGGAGAATTTCCATTTAAACTGTTTGGAGGAAAATGCAATTGGGATGAATCCAGAAATGTTTTGAGTGTTTACTCTTGGCTTCCCCTTCAGACGCTGCGTAAAGTTGTTAAGTATTATCCGTCTTCAGGAAGCTGGTAATTGGTGTGGGGGAAGGGGGTCCTCACAACAAACAGCCGTATTGCCTCCTTCCTGGTGGGACTGAGGCTACCTCGTTCCCCCAGCGGGGGACCAAACACACGGCTTCAGCCTAAAAAACACCTTTTGTGTAGCAGAATGTGCAGAGCTCGTTTACCTCATAGTCATTAAAGCAATCACAAAGTTTCTCATCAGATTATCAATGCAGCTTTTTGATGTTATCCCTAAAGATAATTTATCCAAATCGGGAAAATTATTCCTAAAAGGAAAAGTCTGTAAATATTCAGAATTCCAACCTCTGAAAGCACCTTAAAGTCGTAGGGAAGCGGCTGTTCCAACCGTTGCATTTCCGAATTCTCCCGATTGGTGCCCGACTTTACTAACCTGACTCCGCCAGATGGATTTGCTCCGCATATCCATCTGGAAACCTTCCGTTGAAGTAATTTTGGGAAGGGGCGGAAATACTGGTTAGCTGATGGGCCTATGTTGGTGATAGACGGGCCAAAAAAACCAATCAGATCAACGAAGCATATGACGTACTAACAGAGCGACGACGAAGAGGAGCCAATTGATAGATCAAACTCTTGCCGAAACCAGTCGGGAGAAGAGCAAAAACATCTTTTCCTCTGAGAAAAGCCTCCAGAGCAGTGTTTTGCTCTTCTTTCATTGAAGAAATACTCTGTAATTCCGATAAAACTTGCTCGATAGCCACGCTAACGCTAGTTTCATCGGCTGAAGCCGCCATGTTCTTTAGACTGAACTGTCGCGCTACTCGTTGCGTCACACCTCAACCCGCCTCAAAGCCAACGCTGATTGGACGTTCGTTTGGTGAACGGCTCAAATTTTTCTTCAACGGAGAGTCTCCAGACTGATCTGCAAGTTAAAATCTTGAAAGCTTGCGAGATCAGGATGGTCTCACGAGGCTACGACTTTACAAGAGTGAATAAAGTGAATGTGATTGGTCCATTATCAGGGGGGCGGGATTGGTATGGCGTAAGGTTCAGAAGCAAGTTTAGTTGTGGCCGGTTTGTCGGAAGCATCTTGCTAACCAGTTAGCAACTTAGTGCTAGCAGGGAAATTCCATTGGGACCAAGTAGCACTAAATTGGTGACTTAGAAACGACGCTGTCAAGGAACGCTATGGACAGAGGAAACATGCAAGAGGAGGAGAGTTTAGTGTCGGAGGTCGTGGATGAGTCTCCTCCGTCATCCATTTTTTATTCAGAGGAGGAAATCTCTCTCTGAGAATCACCTCTCTGCCTCAGTCACCATAGAAACCGTCCCACGCTGTTTATTTCTGCGTTTTTCTTTTCTTTTCTTTAGACGTAGATCTCATTATGTTTTTAACAGATGAACATTCTCTATCTGTTCTGGTTCTAGATGCTGCACAGACTCGTTAAGTGGGGCTTTGCTTTATAGAAAGCGCCAGCGTTTTTTATTTTTGATAACTTTTCATAATCTGTAAAAGGCAAATGTGGGAAATCGTTTTAATTTCATAACACAGAAACGGAAGTGTAAAGAATCTGCACAGATCTGCTCATCCTGCCTAGTCGGAGCCTCTCTATACGGTCAGTGAGACATGAAGGAAAAATCTAATTGGAGATTAAAAAATTTTCAGGCCTTAAAGCAGCATTCATTTGTCCACATTTATCTACATCTCTGTAAAGTTTCATAACAAAAGTATAGCCATGTATCTACAGCTGAACCCCACTTTTCACGTGAAACAATCTGGTTCTGCAGTTTGGATCAGATTTAAAGTCCCCCACTTCCTCATCTGCATCTATATTTGGATTCTGGGCGTCTTTTGAGGATCTGTTTGTCAATCAGTATTGGCATAAAGAATGTTCATCCTGTCGATGAAAAACTTCCATCAGTTCTAATTAACCCTCTCAGTTCCTGCTGCCAGCGGGACATCTGAGCACACAGAGGTAAGTAAACCCTGAGTGTCAAAGGTCAGCACAGGCGGTGCAGAGACGCTGAAGGCGATCCATTAAAGAGATAAAAATGTGGGAGAGGATTTCCAAATTTCCCGTAAACGTTTTTGACACATTTAGGTTGTTATCTCTCCTTCAAAGTGCTGTTTAATAGTTTAGAGTCTAATTTAGTGTTTGTTTTAAAGCCTTAGGAATGTAAGACACCAATAAAAGTTTTCACAAGTGCACCATTACCAGCACTGGTGGATGTGTTTGTATGGACTAGTTGTTTTGGTACAGTGGCTGCTAATAAGCATGCTACACCTCCTATAAAATCACTGGCACACAGCTGGGTCTCCACCTTATTACTTTCAGGTGTGTCTGTTTGATTCTTGCAAGTGGCCACAGCCTGACACCTCTAACGAGACTAAATGTGCAAACTTGTATGTGTGTGGAGGGGGTAAGACAACATTAAAGGCAACATGAAAGCTATAAAATGGCGCAGCTTTGTTGAAATGTGCTAGAGGGAAAATACATGTTTTTGTATGAGAGACATAAAAGAAGGGGTATGTGGTAGCTTCAGGCTACCAATATGTTACCTTAAGATGTATTAAAAATTGTTGCTGCTAAAAGTGGCTGCATGTTGGAGTGACTGAGGGCCCCGTCACATCTAGCCGATTTAAGGCCTGGTTATCCTCCTGCAGCAGTCTGTCGCAGGGAGTGTGTCGCAGATATTTTTGATTTATACCCAATATTAAAGCGGGGTCTGCGCTGTGTTATTCCACGCCACAATGCAAGAAGAAGAACTAGCTGTGGGTCTAGATACGGCCGAGGCCGTGAGGAAGTGGGGGCAAGTTTGTGCGACCATGGAGCGGTGATGCAGGTGGGAAAAGGGTCCCAGTGTTCTCGCGCACCTCGCTCTTCTGGTCCATCTTCACCAATCAGTTTCCACAATGGCGGTCATACAAACAAAACAAGGCGGTGCAGGTACCAGACCTGCTCCGGGCCCCGCCAGCTTCTTATGAGGTCAATATATGGCAACTCCACTCGGACAAAGTATATTGCATGCGTTTCTTAAGGATCAAATCTCTTTTGAAGTCTCAACATATTATTACCTATATTGGCTCTTATTTTACATTTCATTGGTGATCTAAATCAGCCGAAAGTAGAAAACAATCATTATCAGTCTTGAAGGAAAGTACTGCGTTCTTAAACTGAGCTCTGCCATTTAACAAGGTGACACAAAAAGTCTCAGTTTATTTTAATCTTCTTTAATTTTATTAAGATCTGAGGGCAGAGGAGAACAAATGGAACATCCTAAAAAATGAGTTTCGTAGAGATTTTTAACAAAGAAAACAGTTAATCTACTTGTAGAAAACGAACGGTTGTTGTTGACACAAAGCCAACAGTAGTATAGCTTAATATGCTAACTGAGCAAGCTAAAAGATGCTGACCTGTTAGCTACAGCTAGCCACAGCGCCACCCAGCTCTTTATATTAGTTACTTTGTTCACCAGAAACAGATTATTTTTCAGTTTTGTTATCAATCTGGTAAAACTTCAGTAATTAGACACGCTAACGCTACAGATGCTCCTGAATTGCCACACTGACGCTGTGTAATGTTATTATCGTTGCCTTGGCAACCACAATGTTTTACATCATGTGGCAACGTTCAGCCAATCATGTAGCGTAACGTCACTGGCATGAAGCAGGACCCGAGCAGATCTGGTAGCTACAGCGGTAAGGTATCAAACAGGAAATACGCATAATGTAGAGCAGATGTCGATTTGACCAATCAGAGGCCTCCTGCCTGTGGTCAGCTACAAGTTTGTAAAGGTGCAGCAGGGTGTCTGCGGAAGGGGCGGGGCATATCTGCTTTAACTGCGACACACATGCAGACCACCTGGTTTCTGAGTATATGAGTATATACTGGTATAAACAGCCATTAAAATCCTGACCTTTCTATGTATTTTTTCTATTTTGGGCATATACATCGAGTATTCATAACGAGTCCAGAACTTATGTCGTAGCCTAACTTATGCATGATGCACGGCAGGCTAATCCCCATGAAATGATGCACAAGCATCATGCCTTCTCCGCCTGACATTCCCCAAATGGCGAAATATCACCAATGTAAACAAACATAAGTTCCTGAATGTTATGGGTGCTGCCACTTTTGTTTGCATAATCCCGGCCTTTGTAGCCATAGTATTGTGGGCTGCCAATAGGAGGCGAGTAACCGTGCTAGCGTGATGTGTAAATGGTCGTAAGCTCAAGCTCTGTTCACTGATCCAAGCTCGGTCTGAACTCGGCACGGATCAGTTTCAGACGGCTAGTGGAAATGGGACACTAGTCTTTATTTGGGCCTCACTTTTCTTAAGGCTTGGCCCACTGCTGGTCTTACAGAAAACTATAAGCTTAACTGTTTTGTTTTTTTCCTACTTTTTAATGAACTCTAATTGTTTCTGTTTCTTTTTTGCAGGGTCAGTTTGCTGCAGAAGGAGTTCCTAAGTTGGCCGTCACCTTCAGAGCTGACAGTGAGTTTCTCTTTGACTGAACTAAATGACAGAGCCCAAAACATAAATTGTGTTTTGTTTGTTTAAAAGAAACTTAATATCCATCTGGAGGATTGGAATAACTATTTTAAGCTGGGTGTACACTTTGAGAACTTTATTTTGCCCTTTTTGGGCCGACTTTCCGGTCATGCGAGAGTTTCTACTGGTTTGGCTTCCAGATAGACGAGTCTGAGTAGCGCCATCTCACTGCGGAGCTGAGTCCCACCTGGTTTAGGGGTGTAAATCACATCCATCATGGCGATTCGATTCAGTATCAATTTCCTGACTCAACGATTCGAATATTTTCAATACTCAGGAGTAAACCACAATTCGTTTAGATTAATTGGTGACTTTTTTTTTCTTTTACCTTACAGGCTAGAGAATGTTTGAAATAAATAAATTAAAGCTTTAATATCATTATGCATTTTATTTGAGAAACAACAGCAAATAACAGAAGTAGCAAATGTGTTCTCCACCTAGGCCTATGGAAACTTCATTCACTGAAAAATAATAGGTTTAGCGCCCCCGCAGCATGGGAGTCAGAATTACGTCCAGGAGCAAATGGATCAAAATAGACCGGAGGAAGTAAAAAAACATGAATTAATGAATCAATACTCTTGCAGACGTTGCGTCGGATCATCGGCTGTTGGATCGATGCATCGATACAAAACTATTATTATTTCAACCTAGTTTTTAGACATACAGTGTGAGCAGAGCAGGTGGATCGCATCAGAGCGTCGGGTCGCACAGCGTGAGAACAAACATGGTGAGCTGTGAACTTTTAAACCCTGAGGTTACATCGTACAGTGTGAGCTGTAGCTGCATGCAACGATTGAAAATAATCGCAGTGTACGCCTGGCTTTAGAGTGATGATGTGATGTTATATTTATTTCTAGTCTAAAACATAATGCACAAGAACCGAGAAATGTGTTTTTTCCTCAACGTATTCTGCCAGCTGATCCTCAACCATGCATTATATAACAGATCAGTGTGCAGATTCTCACAGCCAGAACTCCCTAGAGCTGAGAGAACAAACTGATGTAATTCAGCTCTCTCATATGTGGGAGTGAGAAAATAAAGCCTTTTTCTTCTGGTGGAATATGGATCATCTTTAAAGATGATACATCATCGGTAACCGACTGCCATCTTTGATTTCAGTGCAGCCTACAGTGCACATAAACTAAGGTACACATGATGTACCTTAGAGTAAAAACCAACTCAGGTTTTATGATTTTATGTTTTTATTTTTTGTTCTTGTTAAATGGTGTTTTTCCCAAGCCTAGGCCAGTGTTAAGCCCCCCCCCACCCCACCCCACCCCCACCCCTCCCTGCTGCCCCCTCTACCCCAACCCCCCCATCCTTTGCCTCCTTCCTCTTTTGTTCCTTAAAGTCAAGTTCCTGAGCCGTGGCCAATCCATGCCTCCTGCTTTTGTCCGTGACCATGAGCGAGGAAGGGCTTTAAAATCCCTCTTTGTACATTACTCTGTGTGTGTGTGTGTGTGGGGGGGGGGGGGGGTTACTTATGTAGTTTTTAGTAAAGCAGATACCTGTACATAATAATTTATTTAATACTTTTTTTGTTTTACGCTCCTCTAAAGATGTCAGGGTTGCAGGATCTATTTTAATATACACACATTTCTTGATTTCTAAGTTTGAAGGAGAAGCAGCAGGGATGTTAAATTATATTTTTATTTTATTTCTATTAGCTAGTTTGAAGGCTAAACACTATCGATGTCCACCCTCTTGTTGTAATTTGTTGATTTTTTTCTTTGTATCCTTGTCCTGGTTGCATCATCTTGGTCTAATCTACGCTCTTCTAGATGTTTTCAATAGAAGATATTAATTTTCATTTATTCTAAACTTTTCTGCGGGATCGCTCAGAGGTCAGGAGGTCATGTGACTTTGAGGTGCTGATTCTGTCGCCTCTGAGGAAAAGAAGCTGAAAACCTCAAACACTTTAAGGCACCGGAGTTTGTCAGCATGACAATCCCCTCCTGCCTCGCATGGACGACACACCTCAGTGGTTCCTCTCCTCCAGCCGGACGGAGGATGAAGGAGGAGAGTCGAGCTTCCTTTGCTGCTTCCAGTGAAAGTCACAGAGAATATGAAGCGAGGAGACCTTTGACCTCCAGTCGGTTGTCGATGACCGGAGACGAGATGTGAATGAAGTCAAACGGGGTTTCTACTGCGGCTTAAAAAGTCTTAAGATTTAATCAGATTTCTTTTCAGCCTTGACCAAGATTTTCCAAATGGCCAATCTAAGCCTTAAATAATAAAAACTTGTACATTTCTTTATTCATTACATATTATTTATTCCAGGATTTTTATCACTAGCTGAAGATAAGATAAAAAAGAGTTTAGGCCCAGCAAATGTTCTGGTTCTTTTCTTTACCATCAATATTTAACAATCCTGAGCTTCAGAACAAGGACTGTAATAGTTTGTGTTTGATTATTTCTATGTGTTGGTGATAATTTTTTATTTGGATATAAATGGTGTCAAATTTGGAAGAAAAAAACATTTGTCAGTTGAAAGCCTCACAAGTATGGAAGAAAAACAGTCACCGAATTTTAAACACTGAATTTTTTTACACATTAAATTCCTTACACTGAAATAATATCGGGTAAAAATTTGCCTCCTCAGTTAGCCTTCTGGTGAACTCAGGCCAAAGCAATCGACACTCGATGCACTCGATACAGAAGTTCAGTTCACCAGATCATCCAGTCAGATTGATTCAACGTTTTCTATCTAAGGAAAACCAGCTGATTGCATCGACTCATTGACTCTTCAGCAATCCCTCACACTAAGCATGCTTGTAACGACAGTGGAGAGGAAAAACTCCCTTTGAACAGGAAGAAACCTCCAGCAGAACCAGGCTCAGTGTGAGCGGCCATCTGCTGAGGCCCACTGGGGTTCAAGGAGACAGAAGCAGACATAGAAAAAGAAGCATAGATACAAAAGGCAACTGTCAACCAGCTCCACAGGCGGCCCCGTCCAGGAAACACACAGCCAGGCAGACGAGCTCCAAGCCAGCTCCCATGTCAGAGGATGAAGAGAGCACATCCAGTTAGTCACAGTCAGAGAAACAGGACTACACTGAAAAACAGGCCAAGCTCCAACACCTACAAACACAGGTGTTCACTTTGTGATCATGGGTCGGGTTGCGCTTTATTATTAACGCGTCGCTGCGGTCCCAGCAGGGTTTAAATGGGAATAATTGCAGGTCTTGGTCCTGGATTCTATGGGTGCGAGCGGATAAAGTTTTGAAAAACCAGACCAGTGCAGGACTCTGACATGACAAACGTGGCGCCATCTGCTGGCAGAACCACAGATCTATCAGAAAGTCAAAGAAGGATCCAACTTGAAGTTACCTTCCTCCCTAACTGTCGGCATCTTCGATAAACTCTTAACCACAGGGGATGCTTCTTTCTTTTAAGTAAATGTGGTTTAAACGTAATATTACTTCCTGTGCTCCAAAGATGAAAATAAGCTCTTTCTTGATGCTTTTCTTTACTTTTTAAGCAATGGAATCAGCTCTTGTCTCTGTCTGCATCCTCTTCCCGCCTTGGAAGTTGAATTCCAACTTGAAGGAGAAACAAAAGAAAGGGGGGGGGCTATCTTCATCCTTCACTGGATTCTGCCTCTCCTTCTGTGTCTTATGAAATAAATCAGAGGACAAAGATTGAATGAGGTAGAAGAATAGTGACTAAATCCGCTCCCTTCCCCTTGCGCTCTATGGAAGACGAAGAGGGAAAGACGTAGAGCAGCCAGCTGTGACCTTCTTCCTGCAGTCCTGAACATGACCTGGTTCTGAGGAGGAAGACGGCGAGAGGAAGAGGAGCAGTGACTCGTGTCATCTTCCTCTTTATGCTCCTCCACTCCGTCCTCATCGCCATCAATAGATGGAGGAAAGGGGAGCAGTGAGTCGTGTCTGAGGCCACGCCCCCTTTTTTCCTGCATCTGTAGCCTGGCTTTTCTCATGGCTTCAAGCCTGGCTGCTTCGCATCTTTCTCTGCCCCTTCGTCTTTAATTGAATAAAACTGAGGAAACCTTTGAATTGAAGTGGTGTTTTGGCAACAAATGACAGAACTAGAAAAGCACTCGGCGAGCACCGACCTCCGCCAAGCAGCAAATGATGCCACATACTGAGACTTAAAGCTAAAACTCACACAGGATCTGGATCATGGCCAAATTCTAATAACAGCCCAACTTCTCTAGAAATTCCAGCAAAATCTGTGCATAACTTTTTTTTTTTTTAGTTATTTTGAAAAGGAACGGACAAACCAACTCTGAGACCATAACCTCCTTGGTGGAGCTGATAAAGCAATGAAAGTGTGGTTGGAGCATAGTAGACAGGTCAGACAATAACTTCTGGTGATGATGCCCCATCATGTGACCTTGCAAAATGTTTTACAAGGTCATGTGATGGGGTATCGTCACCATAACTTACTTTATGCTGGTCAATTTGCATGTTTTCTAAACAAAAACAAGGCTTTATTGGGCTGCTGTATAAAACCTGGAACTCAACTTTATTTCTGACATTTTTAACTGAAAAAGCTTCCTGGATGGAAGAGAAACGTCTTCAAACTTGGAAACAAAGTCCAGCGGATTGTTTTTTTTTTTTTTTTCTGGGATGACATAAGTTGCTTTCATTTCATCAGAAGTCTCCCCTGGTGTGCGTCCTTTCAAATACAAAAATTCTGACTTTACTCAGTTCAAAAACCTGTAAACCAGAAAGCACAATTAGTTCAGAGCTGTAATTCATCACTTAATCAATAGAGATATAAATAATTACACGTGCAAAATTTCAGCTAGATCAAACGACCAGATGTCGGTCAGGGGCATTACTTATTGAAAACCGCTGGCATATATTCCCACTACAAAATTCCCCATTTTCCTTGATGGGTCCTTGGCTGGTCCCCTACAATTCCTTTATAAGAATATTCTTTCTGTCCTGATTTGTGGACATTAAGATCTAAAGAGAAGCGCCATCTCCTGGACAGACTCTGCTTAAAGTTGGGTAATGTTTCTCTTTAAACATCAACCATTGATGTTTACCGCCTCCGATGTCAGATACCTGTTCTCCAGGGAAGCTCCCACCCAGAGGCTTGAATCTTAGATGCTGTTTACATAATACCACCTTAAACCTGCGACAAAAGATGTGGTATCATTACAGTTTTCATAAAACATTGGGGGGGATTTCAAAGACGTTTCCCCTTGACCTATTAATGTAAAACCAGATATTTTCTTACATGCTCTTTTATAACATTGAATAAAGAAGGAAATCTCAGTTGTTTCTCTCCAGCTAAAGAGAACTAGTCAGACATGAACTTTCATTTCATATATTCCAAAAGTTAAGGTGAGACAAGCATATGGCTATAAAAGGAAGACGGACAAACAGAGAGTAGCGTGAAAAGGAAAGCTCAGATTCTGACAGCATATATGCTTTACCAGCAGCATTACCTTCAGTCAAACATGAGTCGACTCGCTAAAAATCAGCATTTGACCCTCTTCCCACTAGCAAAGAAATCTGGGTCTAACCCCACGCTGGCAGCTGCGTGTCTGGTGACACCCTCACTCTGGGTTAGCGTTGATGATGTCACCAATGCAACAGAAATCAGGGAAGTAAACAATGGAGAGCACCATGGAAGGAAGCCAGGGCGTAGTCAGTGTGCTTTATCGTTTCTCTGTTATCTGTCTGAATCCCTCTGACCAGAGCTGCTCCATGTTTATCCAATGGAAACAGAGTTGATTCTGCTTGTTGATCAGAAACCACTGGCGCAGTGTGTTGACGTCCGTACGATGCATTAAATGGTATCCCAGAAATTAGCGGGTCGACCCGGATCTGGTGTTCCCACAGCACGACGTTAAAAGCTGAGGAGATTTCAACAAGGGTCGTTCCCAATGCCACCAAAAGCACATTGTTCCCGGGTTTAAACTGTATTTTCGGCCAGTGGGAAAGGGGTATAAAAAGTTAGAAAATATGAAAAGAAAAACTATTTTTCGTTCAGGTTTTTTCCAGCTGGGATCATTATTTCCACAGAGGAAGATCCTCGAAGCTCAGCTCTACTCTCCACAACTTTTCCCCTTTAAAACTTATGAGTTATTAAAAGTTAGTTTCCAAAAATCATAAAAAATATTGATGATAATTAAAAAAAGTTATTTTTTGTTTTTCAAATTTGTATTTGCATATTTTCTTATCTTATAAGGCCTCTCTAGTGAGATATATGGTGCATTATAAATAAAATTATTATTATTTCTTAACACTGTCCCCAATTGCTTTGCTGTATTCAAATATTAAAAATAAAGCCCATTAACTGTAAACCTTCAGTTCCTTTACCTGCTTAGTTGTCTGAAAGTTTTGGTTTTGAAGCGACTCCAGCTGTGATTCCTGCTCGCTGCTGCTTTTGGCTTTCTGGCTCCGGGATAAAAATCTCAGTGGAAGGAAGAAACAGACCTATAAATGAGAAAAGATTTCTTAAAATATGTTGGTTTTTTTTTGCCTTTTATTTAAAGATTATTTGCCTTTTGGAATGAGTCATTTTCATCTCTAAAATAAGATGATTTTATATATATATCCATGTCAAATAAGCAGGCGTTTGGGTTGCTTATACCTTGGGTCGGCCCTGCCGTTACAGATATGGAACCCTAACAATAACTTGATGTCAACCGTGACCAAACCAGTGGAGGCTTATTTGCTTATTATGTCTTGTAGATTCTTAATGGTTTTTTCCATATATGCCTCTGCTAAGGTGTCCCTTGTGTCTTTTCTTTGCAGACTGCTCGTTAAGCTATCCGCTGGGGAAGCATGCAATCCATGAGGTCTCAGACATCTCCTTCAGCCACCTGGCCTGTGATGACCAGGCTGCCGTGGTCGTCCACTGGTCTCCAAGTCCACTAGGTACAGTCTGTCCCAGTGTCGGCCTGTTCTTAGACTATACGAGTTTGCACTGACAAAAAAATAAATTAAAATATGTGTATTTGCTCCTAATTTGTGCTGTAAATACTATAATCTACTAATGGCACAAGTATATTTATCAAGTAAAGAAGATAATTGGATTTTATGCTTTTGAAGTAAGATAATGGAAAAGTTCTCATCTTATTCCTTTGGCAAATTGACTTGCCTACCTGCACAAATCAAAAGAGAATACACCTTTTTGTTTTGTTTTGTTTTACTGTCCATAATATGCAGTGCAAAGATGAAATGGGGAAAGTTGAGAGTGGAAAAATGAGAACCTAAAGGCCTCAGGATGCTAAGGTTACTGAGATGTGAGTGTCTCTTTGATCAGACCTGGAGCCGCGGAGAAAAAGGATCACATCTCACACAACAATACCACGATTTGACCGTGAAGGAATGTGTGTCTGTGTGCACGGTTAGCAGAACCCCGCTCTCTTTTCTCTGTGTGACAAGCTGCCTGTTGTTTTCTGGTTCCAGGCAGAAATCTCTCAGAAAATATCCCACTTAGATGTGAACCACAGCCATGCTAGAAAAGGCTTCCTCCCCCCCCCAAAAAAACAAAAAAAACAAAACACAAAAGCGGTGCAGATTTAACAGAGGTTTCTGTTTGTTTTTCTGTTTTTTTTTGTCTTGCTGGTTGAATCAGGTGAACTGTGTGCGTCTCGGTGGTGATGAACAAAATGGCCAAGTTGGACTTGTTTCTTTCTCTGCTTATAAATTGGCAAAATTATTTTCTTGCCATTTTTTCTTAATTCTACCTGCTCAAACATGTACGGCTGGAAGCCTTCTACACCAAACCAAGCTTCTGCCGCCCTGGCGTCCTCTTCCACAACATCTTCGTCCCCGCTTTCCTCCTCTAAATAAAAAATGGATGACGGAGGAGACTCATCCACGACCTCCGACACTAAACTCTCCTCCTCTAGCATGTTTCCTCTGTCCATAGCGTTCCTTGACAGTGTCGTTTCTAAGTCACCAATTTAGTGCTACTTGGTCCCAATGGAATTTCCCATTGGGAACCTACTAGCACTAAGTTGCTAACTGGTTAGCAAGATGCTTCCGACAAACCGGCCACAACCACACTGGCTTGTGAACCTTCCGCCACAACAGTCCCGCCCTCTTGATAATCGACCAATCACATTCACTTTATTCACTCGTGTAAAGTCGGGCACCACTCTGGGAAGAGCAGCTTCCCTACAACTTTAAAGGGATCCATGATTAGCTGAATATGTTAGCCTAAATATGTTGTAATTTTCCTTTCAACGTAAAAAAAAAAGTGCCGTTTGTGATGCTTTTTTTTGTTTTGTTTGTTTTGATAATAAAAAAAATCATAATTATTTCAGTAATAATATATCCTCTGTTTTATTTTTTCACTCATGGAGTTCGCCATTTTTTCCCCTGTGCAATGCATGCTGGGTAGATGTCGTGGTTAGGTCTAACTGGAACCTGCAGATTAAACACAGGAAGGCTAACATTAGCAGAGCTGCTTTTATCATCTGACTGGTGTAAATTCAGACAATGCGTCACTTTGTCGCTCCTTGAAAGTTTTCACGAGTCGTTATACTTGAGATATCTGTTGGAATAAACCAACTTCTGATCTACTATATCAGCTACAGCTAACACCGTTAGCTGAATCTAACATGAAATCAAATCAGAAGATAAGGACTGTTTAAAGTGACAGAGAAACATCTTTCAGTCATTGTAACTCATCATTTTAATATATCAGAGAAAATGTTTTGATTCTGATGCTAACCGCTAACAGCCTCAGTTAGAAACTGGAGCTCTTTGTAGCATCTAGGTTAGCATCTCCTAGCATTAGCTTTTTCAGACAGCTCTCCACTCTTCCTCCATTTGGTCCTCCTCATCTTCATTACGTCTTATTTCTACATTCTCTTAAATTTCAACATGCTCCAGTTCAAACTGGAAAAGTTGAACGCAACTGCTCTTTATCTGGACAGGGCTAGTGCTACAGGACCTAGCTTATTTCATTTACCCACAATGCATTGCAGGGCAAACTTGAGACAATATATTATTTAAATCGGTACAAACGTGACGGGTTACAATATTCCCACTAAGTTGTATTTACAGTAAAAGTTAATATTTTTCTAGTGAAGTTTCTTGCTAAAGCTAATCCTGATCGTTGTATTGTCACAAGTTATCGTTCTCATGTTAAAGCTTATGTGGAAAACATCCCTATAATGTTGTTTTTAGCTAGCTTCTTATGCAAAACACTTCGAGGAGAAATTCAGGCGCCATCTTTTCAGTCTCCATCTGTTTAGTGAGAGGACTGAAAGGGGGGTTAAAGTTAATCCTCCTCTCTAAGTGAGGTAGTCTCAGGCCCACAGCTGACTTTTATTGGAGCAAGCAGGCTCCTTTAATGCTGCTAAAGTTGACATAAATGTCAGCTATTTTATCTTGAAATATTTATGTTTTCCACTTATTTAAGAAGTTATGACAATACGCCATTGGAAGTAGATGATTTTATTCTTGGAAGAAAAAATAAAATTACTATTATCTTATTTCAAGTGCGTAGTACCTAATTATAAGTACACATTTATTTTATTGGCAGATCATCTTATTTACCTGCTCAGCCTAAGAGCAAATATACTTTCAGACATTGGCACTTAATTTTAGTGCTTAGTTTTTATATTGTACTTTATATTGGAGGTCTTCAACAGGGGGTCCACGACCCCTAGGGGTCCATAGAGGTACTGCATGGGGGTCACAAAAGTTTTGGTTGATTAGACTTTTTTTTTTTTTTTTTTTCCCCTGCACTTTTTCCACTAATTGAAATGTCTTTAAATCCACATGAACATGAATTCAACTGTAGTAACCTGATAAATGGAGGCAGAAGATGTCTTTCAGTCATCAATGCACACATTCAGCAACACACAGGAGCTTTTTCAAGCTGGGCACCGTTTCATTCACAACACCTGTCCCATCAACCAGGAATCAGAAATACTTTAATAATCCCAGGGAGGGATTACTTTAGTTACATTACTCCATCTGTAATAGAGTGACTATAGGACCAGTTTGATAGAACACTATTTCATACAATATACAGGTGCTGGTCATAAAATTAGAATATCATGAAAAAGTAGATTGATTTCAGTAATTCCATTTAAAAAGTGAAACTTGTATATTATATTCATACATTACATACAAACTCATATATTTCAGATGTTTATTTTGTTTAATTTTGATGATTACAAATGACAACAAATGAAAATCTCAAATTCATCATATCAGAAAATTAGAATATTACTGAAGACCAATAAAAACAAAGGATTTATAGAAATGTTGGCCAACTGAAAAGTATGAACATGAAAAGTATGAGCATGTACAGCACTCAGTATTTAGTTGGGCCTCCTTTGGCCTGTATTACTGCAGCAATGCGGCGTGGCATGGAGTCGATCAGTCTGTGGCACTGCTCAGGTGTTATGATAGCCCAGGTTGCTCTAATAGTGGCTTTTAGCTCTTCTGAATTGTTGGGTCTGGTGTATTGCATCTTCTTCTTCACAATACCCCATAGATTTTCTATGGGGTTAAGGTCAGGAGAGTTTGCTGGCCAATTAAGAACAGGGATACCATGGTCCTTCAACCAGGTACTGGTAGCTTTGGCACTGTGTGCAGGTGCCAAGTCCTGTTGGAAAATGAAATCTGCATCTCCAAAAAGTTGGTCAGCTGCAGGAAGCATGAAGTGCTCTAAAACTTCCTGGTATGTGGCTGCGTTGACCCTGGACCTCAGAAAACACAATGGACCAACACCAGCAGATGACATGGCACCCCAAACCATCACTGACTGTGGAAACTTTACACTGGACTTCAAGCAACGTGGATGAAGTGCCTCTCTTCTTTTCCTCCAGACTCTGGGACCTTGATTTCCAAAGGAAATGCAAAATTTACTTTCATCAGAGAACATGACTTTGGACCACTCACCAGCAGTCCAGTCCTGTTTCTCTTTAGACGCTTCTGACGCTGTCTGTGGTTCAAGAGTGGCTTGACACAAGGAATGCGACAGCAGAAACCCATGTCTTTCATACGTCTGTGTGTGGTGGTTCTTGAAGCACTCACTCCAGCTGCAGTCCACTCTTTGTGAATCTCCCCCACATTTTTGAAGGGGTTTTGTTTCACAATCCTCTCCAGGGTGCGGTTATCTCTCTTGCTTGTACACTTTTTTCGACCACATCTTTTCCTTCCCTTCGCCTCTCTATTAATGTGCTTGGACACTGAGCTCTGTGAACAGCCAGCCTCTTTAGCGATGACCTTTTGTGTCTTGCCCTCCTTGTGCAAGGTGTCGATGGTCGTCTTTTGGACAACTGTCAAGTCAGCAGTCTTCCCCATGATTGTGTAGCCTATAGAACTAGACTGAAAGACCATTTAAAGGCTTTTGCAGGTGGTTTGAGTTAATTAGCTGATTAGAGTGTGGCACCAGGGGCCATCAATTTTGAACCTTTTCACAATATTCTAATTTTCTGATATGATGAATTTGAGATTTTCATTTGTTGTCATTTGTAATCATCAAAATTAAACAAAATAAACATCTGAAATATATGAGTTTGTATGTAATGTATGAATATAATATACAAGTTTCACTTTTTAAATGGAATTACTGAAATCAATCTACTTTTTCATGATATTCTAATTTTATGACCAGCACCTGTATATAATTAGAGGGTCCCTGCTCCACCTCGCCATCAGTTTGGGGTCCTTGGCCTGGAAAACGTTAAAGACCCCTGCCTTAGATATTTGTGAAATGAATACTTCACAGAAACTCCTACTGATCCAAACAAGGTATAACAGTTTGGGTGCATCAACAGTGAGGAAAATGAGGTCTGCAAACATGAAATTTGAGTGTGTTTTCCTTATTTTAAACCAATAAGATCATTTGTCGTTTAATACTCCTTAATCTTATTTCAAATGTGTAACATCCAGGCCAAATACAGGATTATTAGGATGTTTTTAGATCAGTTTTTAGGGTAGAATTAATCAAGATAAAACATTTAGATGAATAAAATGACCTTAAGTTGAAGATATAATAAAAGCTGACTTCTCTAGGAACAAAATGAATCAGAGAGCTCATGTTCCTCCTGGTCATTCTTCTTCACGTTTGAGCCGTTTGGCCTCCGTATGCTACTGCCAGGGTTTAGAAATAAACCACTTGGTCCAATTTTCTCTTTTTCAGTTTGACATTTCCTGCTCTTGTTTTAGTGTCGACCTTTAAAACAAGAGAAGCAGAAGGACTCTTAGGTGCAGCTAAGATGCATATTATCGTTCAGTCGCAGAGAGACGGAGCAACATGTTCAGGAATCTGCCCGAGGAAAGAAAAACCCGTCCCTCCACTTTTCTGTGCGTCTCTCCTGCAGAGCTAATGGGAAAAAAATGTCTGTTGGATGTGAAGGTGTTATTACAAGGCAGATGTTTTCAAAGAGGAGGAGGAGATTAAGCTGGGAGGAGGCGGGTAAAGGGAAGAAGACGGGAGGGGTGAGGACCCAGACAGGAAGCAAAGGGACAGGTCAAATTATGTCCATCATCATTTCCTAAACTCTTTACTCTGAGTGGTTTTAGAAGATCAGGAAGAAAGGATGAACTTTGGAGCTTCGCACTGATTTGGGTCGGCAGATTTTCAACCGCTGCAGCAAAGTTTCACTAAATACCTCAAGTCTGTTGGTCTCACCGAGTCTGGAGCTGATTTATTTCAAAAGCTTTAAATTAAAATCAAACGATGAACAAATTAATAACTTTAAGCTGATTTTTTATTTTTTTTTGCTTTGATTTCCAATCAGCCTTAGAATAATGCAACCACTGCCGTGCCTGACAGGTTCTTCGGTTCTGAAGCCTCACCTTGGCTTATCCAAACGTTCCTCTTGTCTTTGTGGCCGAACGGGTCATTCTTCCTCTCATCTGAGGATAAAGGTCTGCAGAAGACATTATTTCCAAATGATACTTTTAAGTTTAGGTTCTCGATGAAAGAGCTGTTCCAGCTGAGAAAGTTTGGCCAAATCTTAATCTATTTGGATGTATTTGAACTGTTAGGATCATTTTATTTCAAAGGAGATGAGAAAATAAAAAAGAAGCAAACAGGAAGAAGTGATTAGAGGTGAATATCTGAGAGTTTAGAGTAGGAAACAGTTAAAGAGGGGGGGTTCTGAAAGACTGTTCCAATGAAAAATCTTCCGCTTCCCCTTTTTCTCTTATGTTTAATTCTAGTTTCTGCCGATGGCTGCTCCTCCTCAGACAGCTTCAGCTTTAGCCTTGCTCCCGTTTATTGGAGAGGGTTTCTTACCACTTTCGCCACGTGCTTGCTTAGGAGGATTGCTTTATAGTTAGTGGCAGCTTTCCTCCACCTGGCTTCATGAACTGAATGTAAATTCATTGGACTATAACGAGGAGCGCAGTTTAATCTGAATAAAAGGTTTGATTGAATGTAGACGACGATGAGTGAAGTTTCTATTCCATCTCTGCAGGAATCGAACACATTAAAGGCTTCAGAGTTTATCTGGAAGACAAGAATCCCGACGGGAAACGGTGTCAGCACCTCGTCCTCAAAGAACCGCGGCAGCTCAACTACTCCTACAGGAGCACGGTAGGACGAACGCTTCCGTCTCCGCCATCCAAGTCGCATCTTTTGCTTTTAATGCGATGCGAAGCTATGATTCCAGAAAAATTTAGACAAAAACAAAAAATACCAGAGCATATCATGTTAAGATCTTAAGAGATCCCTGATTCTTAGATTTATTGATCTATGTTTTGCTCCTCGTACAGAAGCTGAGCAGTCAGCCGTTCACCGGTTTGACCTTTGACACCGACTACATGGTTCGTGTCGTTCCTTTCCCATCTCTGATGAACGAAAGCGTCTTCCATCCATCTTTTCTGCGAACCAACTGTAAGCTGGATGATTTAAAACAAACAGCGTCTCTTTTTGTCAGAGAAGAAAGCAGATTTTTCATTTTTACCTGTTTTTCTTCCCACAGCCTGTGAATTCCTCCTTGGATCTGACAACCTGGTCTGCAAACCATGTAAGTTCCTGGTTGTGCTCGTCCTCAGCCTCATCCTGAGCTCATGTTACCAAAAGGAAGAGCAAGTCTGCTCCTAAAAAGCCCAGCAATAAAACTAGCTCTTAAAAGAACGATGCCTAATTATCACATGATAATTACACAGCCTTGTATTTTCAATAAAAAGCATAAATACAAAGTTCTGCTCTGCTGGGAAATGACAGAACAGAAGGGGAGGGAAAATGAAACTGGGCCATAAAGTTTGTTAAAAATATATTTTTAAGCTGGAAAACTGTAAGTTCAAAACTTTTAAAATTGAAAACAAATGTTTAAAATTTAATTTCGCATATTTTTTTTATCATATTTATTTCTTTCTTGTCGTGAAACTGCTGGCCCCTCTAGGGGGGCGGGGCTTATAGTACCTGCTGTCGCTGTTTTTATTTTTTACTAGCTTTTATTGTCTTTAGACTCTGTAAAATACAGAACAACAAAAATGAACTCTGGTCCCCTTGGGGAGCAGTGGAGGGTTAAGGGTCTTGCTCAGGGACCCACAGTGGCAGTCTGTAGGGCTCAAACTCAGAACCTGTGGATTCCAAGCTCTATGCCCACTGGGCCACAGCTGACTTTTTTTTTTTTTAAATAAGCTCCTTTTTTATTTTTGGCTCACAAAATAAGTTTCTAATTCTTCTTTTAATTTTAAAATCTGTTCCTTTAAGTTTCCATATTTTTTTTCCTTTTATCCTTTTTCTTGTTTTTTTCCATTTTAAAAATATTTTGCAGTTTTATAAATTCATTTCTTTTCTGTTTTAATTTTTTTCCACTTTTCAAATCATTTTCCAGTTAATTTTTTTTCTTCAGTTTAAATAAAAAAATGTGAAACAAATTTTATGGCCCCAATTTGGCTCCGTATGTCTGCAAAAGGACCTCTTTTGATTTGGGTTAAAAGTTCTAATAAATACCTGATTGGAAATACAATAAAAAGAAGCTGTGCTTGAAGTTTGGGGGTTTTCAGGATGAAACGTTGGGATTTTCTCTGGAGGGTTTAAGTTGTTTTTATGTCTGTTCGAAGCAGATTATACCTGCAATAAAATGTTGCAGAAATCCCTGCAGCATTGTGTCGACGACCGCTTGTTTAATGAAGCCGCGCTGTTTGCCCAGTAAAGCTGCAGCAGATGGCTGAGTGAAATCTTTAGTGTCTTTGCACTGAGGCTGAGAACTGTACTTCCACATTATTTTATGCTTCTCTCTTAATGCGACCGTTAACCTGCACCAAATGCATAACTCAGGCTTATTGACCTAATTAATAGACCAGTTTTCTCCTCTATATTAGTTATATATCCATCCATCCATCCATTATCTTACACGCTTGTCCCAATTGGGGTCGCGAGGGGTGCTGGTGCCTATCTCCAGCAGTCAATGGGCGAGAGGCGGGGTACACCCTGGACAGGTTGCCAGTCCATCGCAGTATTAATTATATATCTTTGTTAAAAAAGCAATAGAAAAATTTTCGGTCCTTGAGGATTTGTTCTGTGAGCTCTGAAGAGATAAATGGCATACATGAACCAAAAGATGCTTAAAATAAAACAATGAACTTCACAGCACGCATAACCTGTTAAAAAAACAAAGCCAGGCGTAAATAAAAGTGGTTCCAGCTGGAACCAAAGCTACGCAGTTTAAATGAGTCTTTAAAAGAGATTTAGAAGTGACTGATGTGTGCAGATGGGCAGAGCTAACCCAACCTGAGGCACTCTCTCAGCATCTGGTCTCTCCAGCATAGTGCAATGATCCCTGGAAGACTTCAGCAGTGAGGATTAAATTGGCATTGGTGCAAAAAAATATCTAAAAATAAGACAAACTTTTTTATAATAAAAGTTCATTTAAGCAGGTAAATAATGACAATCTGACAGTATTATTGTTTCCACCCTTAAAACAAGATAATTAGATATTATGGATCTGAAATAAGATTTCTTTCCTTTTATTTATGTAAATCATTGTATGCCATTGCCAAATTATTTTATTTACTTCTAAAATCAAGCGTAAATACTTTTATTTCAAGAAAAATTGACTGACTTAGATTTAATTTTTTTCAGTGTAACTTTCCTCTTGCTCTTACTGCCCTTCAAAGGTGGGTAGAGTAAAAAGTTATTTAAAAGAGGGCTGTTCAGTTCAATTCTATTCAGTTTATTTCTATAGCTCCAATTCACAACACGTCATCTCAAGACACTTTACAGTTTACATGATCATCCAGTCAGATTGATTGAAAGTTTTCTATCTAAGGAAAACCAGCTGATTGCATCGACTCATTGCCTCTTCAGCAATCCCTCACACTAAGCATGCTTGTAGCGACAGTGGGGAGGAAAAACTCCCTTTGAACAGGAAGAAACCTCCAGCAGAACCAGGCTCAGTGTGAGCGGCCATCTGCTGAGGCCCACTGGGGTTCAAGAAGACAGAAGCGGACATAGAAAAAGAAGCATAGATACAAAAGGCAACTGTCAACCAGCTCCACAGGCGGCCCCGTCCAGGAAACACACAGCCAGGCAGACGAGCTCCGAGCCAGCTCCCATGTCAGAGGATGAAGAGAACACATCCAGTTAGTCACAGTCAGAGAAACAGGCTACACTGGAAAACAGGCCAAGCTCCAACATCTATAAACAAAGGTGTTGATGGCAGCAGCACAGCTGATATTTCTCTCCAGGATGGAGTCACAGCCAAACAGGAACAGAGCAGATGAAGCTACTATGAGAAAAAGCAGAGAGAGCATTACTCAGTTACAAAGCATAATATAAACGTGCAAATCGCTTTTTTAAAGGTAAAAACAATTAACACAAATAAAAAAATTAAGCAGAAGAAAGACCTTTCCAAATTCATTTTAGCATAAAACATCTGAAACCATTTCCTACAGAATGTAATACATATTTTAATAAAACAAACTTTCTGAATCTGCTGAATTAGTTTAAGATGTACCTTTCCTTTTTTTATTCCAGTTTCTCACAGTGGGCAGAATAGTTAACAGTTCCAGAAGGAGTACTGATACGTCATGACTAAAGTAAAACCTGTGGTGCAGTAAACCTATTCCTAAAAGTACATTTTTGTCAAAGTTACTGCAGTAAATAAAAAGCAAATAAAACTAGTAAGTAGCTCCCTCTGTTGGCCATATGTGGTAATTACAACTGTTTCAGCGTCTGAAACTTGGAGATTTTTGGTTTAAAAAAAAACATTTGAAAGATGTTTTCTCTTCAAATGCATTGAAATCTAATGAATTTTGCTGTACCATATATTCGGGCTCAATAGTATTTATTTATGGTGGAAACATAAGTGACAGTACACCTTTAATCCTGTGTAAACAAAATAAGGTTTGTTTTTTATATTCATGCATGTTACTGTTTTAATTTCATATGTGTGATACACGTCCACAATATATGCATTTGGTTCTGCTTCTGTCTCTCCAGTCTGGAAGCCAAAGACCCTGAATGTGTCTCAGCTTGGATCCAACCTTCACGTGACCTTTGACCTGGCTCCGCCTTCCTTCGGCCTCCAGTTTTACTACCTGTACTACAGGCTGCGACAGGACGGGCTGTTCAGAGTGCAGCGCTGCAGGCCGGTAGGACTGACGGCTCTCTGGCCCTTCCTGCAATGCAGTGGCTTTTTATTTTCACTTTGCAGGACTACAGGGAATGATGCACAGCTGTGCTCCAAAGTTTTCACACCCTCCCTTCAAAGAAACAGATGATTTCACACTAGTAGTTAAAATAACCCAAAACTGAAAAGGGAAAAAATAACTATTTACTAAATGGTAATTAAGTAAAATAAAATATTGATTTTGAAAACAATATTCCAAAAAACAAAGATCCCAGATAAATGAAAGTGCCTTGCTCATGAACCGTGAACCAGCAGACCTGTCAGCATGTCCAGAAGGCTGAATAATGTTACAGAAAAATAACTTATTTCTCTGATTATTGCTTCAAACTGATGCTCGACGACATCTCGGGTCAGGAGCTACATCTGGCTTGTTTACTGTTTTACATGGATGCATATGTGTTTATTTATACAGGTGCTGGTCATAAAATTAGAATATCATGAAAAAGTAGATTGATTTCAGTAATTCCATTTAAAAAGTGAAACTTGTATATTATATTCATACATTACATACAAACTCATATATTTCAGATGTTTATTTTGTTTAATTTTGAGGATTACAAATGACAACAAATGAAAATCTCAAATTCATCATATCAGAAAATTAGAATATTACTGAAGACCAATAAAAACAAAGGATTTATAGAAATGTTGGCCAACTGAAAAGTATGAACATGAAAAGTATGAGCATGTACAGCACTGTTACGCCCACCAAGGACACAACATATTTGAGGACACGAGACAAAAATGAGGGTTCAAAAAAAGATATTTTATTAATAAATTCTCTCCGTTTTAGTTGTTCTTGGTTCGGCTTCTTCAGATGTTCTGCGAAGAGAAAAATAGTTAACGGCCCTCAAATCCCGTGCCCCAAAAAAAGAAAAAAAAGAAACCCAAAGTAACAACAGAAAGTTGGACCTGGCAGGCCGATCAAACAGAATAAAACGGTACAGCAGGGGGCCAACCCTATACAGGGCCGTCGAAGCCCCTACTGGTACCGGACTAAAGGCAAAAGATAACCTAAGCGAAAGAAAAATCGAAAACAGGACTACCGGTCCCGCCAGGCCAAAAACCTCAAGAAAAAAGTAAGAAAAAGGTAACAAAAATACCACATGGCAGGCTGGAACGTCCGCTGCAGGCCGCAGCGACAAGACAAGTGCGCACCGCGCACGATGGAGCAAATGAAGCAGGTGGGAAGTGGCGTCCAAACGAGGTTGGAAAGGAACGCGAAAGGAACGCGCTAACGTGCTGAAGGCCAGCCTATTTATAGGCGGACGACAGCACCACAAATTAACATAATTGATTTACTAAAAGAATCCTAAAATATATTAACAAAAGGATCCTTCAACTAAAGTTTATAAGCAAACGAAGAAAAGAAATGGACAAAAATCATAATGTGCCTGGGGCACATAACACCCCCACCCAAAGACTCTGAATGGGGTCCGAAGCAAAGCTCAACCCATTCAGAGAAAAAAAAAAAGGAAAGCGGAACTAGAGTCATGAGAGTGCGTCGGCCATGACATTGTCTGCTCCTCTTACAATAAAAACACGCTAAAAGGAAAGCGGGACTAGAGTCAGGAAAGTGCGTCAGCCACTACGTTGTCCCCTCTTCCTACAATAAAAACGCGTCACATAGCTCTCACATCCAAGACATGATCCAATGCGCTCTCAATGCCACCAAGCGCAGCAAATACATCCAATTCACCAACTTCAGTCTGCGTATTTCAAAAAACAGCTCTTCCCTCTATCAAAGACAGCTGTCCAAAATTGACCTGAAGTTCCTCTAAACGACACGGATCAGCTGCAAGTGAGGTTTTATTCGGCGATTCATCAAGACTCTGTGCTAAAACTGCAGCAGGAAAAATATCCTTCGTGCACTCACTAAAGACATCTAATGTGGCTCCTCGAGCAAACTCATCCAGGTCAGACTCCATGTCCACCCCTGGACTCTAGCCACACAAACTGTCAAGCACACACACAAAGCCACAAAAACCCCAGAGTCAAATCGTCCAATCCACAATAACCTCAAAATGCTCGGCTTCCCGTGCATCTGCAGCTGCCCCGACACCTGCGTCATCTCGTTCACTGGAAACAACCGATAGATTTATGCAGAGCGGGCGCACGTTCATTACCAGCAACAGATCCTTTGTGCATTTATGCAAAGTGTCCAATGTGGGCCCTCGAACAAACTCATCCAGGTCAAACTCCATGTCTACCCCTGGAATCAGGCCACACCAAATCAGGAACACCTCTGCACTAACAAAGCTACAGCACCACCAGAACCGAATGCTCTAACTAATCAGCGCAACGCGCGTCAGCTGCGCAAAAATACATACAAACCCAGCACAACCGCCAACAAACAAGAACCAACCGTAGGACACGACCTGTCTCTAAAAGGCACACTTTGTTTAAACAAGCCCCCAAAAATATGTTACGTCCACCAAGGACACAACATATCGGAGGGCACTAAAGGCAAACTTTGTTTTGACAAGCCCCCAAAAATATGTTACGCCCACCAAGGACACAACATATTTGAGGACACGAGACAAAAATGAGGGTTCAAAAAAAGATATTTTATTAATAAATTCTCTCCGTTTTAGTTGTTCTTGGTTCGGCTTCTTCAGATGTTCTGCGAAGAGAAAAATAGTTAACGGCCCTCAAATCCCGTGCCCCAAAAAAAGAAAAAAAAGAAACCCAAAGTAACAACAGAAAGTTGGACCTGGCAGGCCGATCAAACAGAATAAAACGGTACAGCAGGGGGCCAACCCTATACAGGGCCGTCGAAGCCCCTACTGGTACCGGACTAAAGGCAAAAGATAACCTAAGCGAAAGAAAAATCGAAAACAGGACTACCGGTCCCGCCAGGCCAAAAACCTCAAGAAAAAAGTAAGAAAAAGGTAACAAAAATACCACATGGCAGGCTGGAACGTCCGCTGCAGGCCGCAGCGACAAGACAAGTGCGCACCGCGCACGATGGAGCAAATGAAGCAGGTGGGAAGTGGCGTCCAAACGAGGTTGGAAAGGAACGCGAAAGGAACGCGCTAACGTGCTGAAGGCCAGCCTATTTATAGGCGGACGACAGCACCACAAATTAACATAATTGATTTACTAAAAGAATCCTAAAATATATTAACAAAAGGATCCTTCAACTAAAGTTTATAAGCAAACGAAGAAAAGAAATGGACAAAAATCATAATGTGCCTGGGGCACATAACACCCCCACCCAAAGACTCTGAATGGGGTCCGAAGCAAAGCTCAACCCATTCAGAGAAAAAAAAAAAGGAAAGCGGAACTAGAGTCATGAGAGTGCGTCGGCCATGACATTGTCTGCTCCTCTTACAATAAAAACACGCTAAAAGGAAAGCGGGACTAGAGTCAGGAAAGTGCGTCAGCCACTACGTTGTCCCCTCTTCCTACAATAAAAACGCGTCACATAGCTCTCACATCCAAGACATGATCCAATGCGCTCTCAATGCCACCAAGCGCAGCAAATACATCCAATTCACCAACTTCAGTCTGCGTATTTCAAAAAACAGCTCTTCCCTCTATCAAAGACAGCTGTCCAAAATTGACCTGAAGTTCCTCTAAACGACACGGATCAGCTGCAAGTGAGGTTTTATTCGGCGATTCATCAAGACTCTGTGCTAAAACTGCAGCAGGAAAAATATCCTTCGTGCACTCACTAAAGACATCTAATGTGGCTCCTCGAGCAAACTCATCCAGGTCAGACTCCATGTCCACCCCTGGACTCTAGCCACACAAACTGTCAAGCACACACACAAAGCCACAAAAACCCCAGAGTCAAATCGTCCAATCCACAATAACCTCAAAATGCTCGGCTTCCCGTGCATCTGCAGCTGCCCCGACACCTGCGTCATCTCGTTCACTGGAAACAACCGATAGATTTATGCAGAGCGGGCGCACGTTCATTACCAGCAACAGATCCTTTGTGCATTTATGCAAAGTGTCCAATGTGGGCCCTCGAACAAACTCATCCAGGTCAAACTCCATGTCTACCCCTGGAATCAGGCCACACCAAATCAGGAACACCTCTGCACTAACAAAGCTACAGCACCACCAGAACCGAATGCTCTAACTAATCAGCGCAACGCGCGTCAGCTGCGCAAAAATACATACAAACCCAGCACAACCGCCAACAAACAAGAACCAACCGTAGGACACGACCTGTCTCTAAAAGGCACACTTTGTTTAAACAAGCCCCCAAAAATATGTTACGTCCACCAAGGACACAACATATCGGAGGGCACTAAAGGCAAACTTTGTTTTGACAAGCCCCCAAAAATATGTTACGCCCACCAAGGACACAACATATTTGAGGACACGAGACAAAAATGAGGGTTCAAAAAAAGATATTTTATTAATAAATTCTCTCCGTTTTAGTTGTTCTTGGTTCGGCTTCTTCAGATGTTCTGCGAAGAGAAAAATAGTTAACGGCCCTCAAATCCCGTGCCCCAAAAAAAGAAAAAAAAGAAACCCAAAGTAACAACAGAAAGTTGGACCTGGCAGGCCGATCAAACAGAATAAAACGGTACAGCAGGGGGCCAACCCTATACAGGGCCGTCGAAGCCCCTACTGGTACCGGACTAAAGGCAAAAGATAACCTAAGCGAAAGAAAAATCGAAAACAGGACTACCGGTCCCGCCAGGCCAAAAACCTCAAGAAAAAAGTAAGAAAAAGGTAACAAAAATACCACATGGCAGGCTGGAACGTCCGCTGCAGGCCGCAGCGACAAGACAAGTGCGCACCGCGCACGATGGAGCAAATGAAGCAGGTGGGAAGTGGCGTCCAAACGAGGTTGGAAAGGAACGCGAAAGGAACGCGCTAACGTGCTGAAGGCCAGCCTATTTATAGGCGGACGACAGCACCACAAATTAACATAATTGATTTACTAAAAGAATCCTAAAATATATTAACAAAAGGATCCTTCAACTAAAGTTTATAAGCAAA